GTCCAAAGCAGAAGATTATTGGGATCTCCTGTCGTTGGGCTGTGTGGCTGTGTGTAAGAAGACATGAAACCCTAAACCCTAAACCCTAAACCCTAAACCCTAAACCCTAAACCCTAAACCCTAAACCCTAAACCCTAAACCCTAAACCCTACACCCTAATCCCGGAGGAGCCCATGCACCTCGCGGTTGAATTTCGGACGTCGTGCTAATGGTGCCCACTCCAAGGGCATCTGATCTGCTGTCGATGTGCCAGCGGTTAGGGTTTAGGGTTTAGGGTTTAGGGTTTAGGGTTTAGGGTTTAGGGTTTAGGGTTTAGGGTTTAGGGCTTAGGGTTCAGGGCTTAGGGTTTAGGATTCAGGGTTTAGTGGAAACGAGAATGAATCCAAACCTCTTGGATGCAGGTTCCGTGGACGTGGCGCCCTAAAGCCCTACTAAGGTGACAGTTGGTCACATTTTCTGTAGGTTCACAGGGGTTCCAAACAAGGTTGTATCTACACTGGTTTTGCTTGTAAGTATCAGTGAGTTTCCTACTTCTAGCACGAAACTCTGAAGCCTTACCCTAAACCTTCGAGTAAGTTACTCCTGAGCCCTACTTGTAACCCTAAACTCTAAACCCAAAACCCAAAACCCTAAACCCTAAACCCTGAACCCCAAAACCCCATGAACCTTCAAGTGGGCCCACCGAGGATCTTCAAGTCCGAAGCCACCTCGCAAGAGCCGGTCTTCGGACGAGTGGCGTGGAGAATGTTTGTGTGTGTGGGTCGGGTTTAGGGTTTAGGGTTTAGGGTTTGGGGTTTAGGGTTTAGGGTTTAGGTAGGGTTTGGGGTTTGGTTTCGGGTTTGGGGGTTTGGGGTTTAGGGTTTGGGTGGTTTTGGGGTTTAGGGTTTCTCCATGCGCATGCCTTCTGTAATGGCCTTCCTCTTCAAAAAGACGTTCCCAAGCAGGGGTCGAGTTTTGGAAACTTGCCATCCTCCTTTATGCTAAGCTTTTCGGTCGAAAGCTTACTCTCCCGGCCTACCTCCCCATCAGTCACCGATTCTAACACCCTACAACCCTAAACCCTAAACCCTAAACCCTAAACCCTAAACCCTAAACCCTAAACCCTAAACCCTAAGCGTGTTTTTTTATGGCTTCCATTACCTCCCCATCAGTCCCATAGCATCTTCAGGGTTCGAGGGTTGAAGGGTTGAAAAGTTGGAGGGTTGGAAGGGCGAAGTGGCTGCGCTACAACCCTAAACCCTAAACCCTAAACCCTAAACCCTGGGTCAGCTTCTGTTGGAAATGCGCATGGCAGCGGAGGTTTACATCGCGCTGCACCTAACCCGCGGCATTGAACATGCGGATGTGCGGACGAAGGAAAGCTTCCCGCCATGGAGCAGCAGGGCCCTTTGGGTAAGAGTTCTGGGGTTATGGTGTTCTAGGGTGACAGATTTAAAGGGTTACAGGGTCATGGGGCTATGGCATTTCTGTGTTTGAGGGGTTCTAGGTAGAGGCCCATAGGGTGGTAGTATTTCTAAACCCTAAACCCTAAACCCTAAACCCTAAACCCTGAACCCTAAACCCTGAACCCTACAAACCCTGAACCCTAAACCCGAAACCCTAAACCCTAGTTGCGGCCGAAGCCTCGGCTCTAGGAGGTGCCGAAGTCCCTGACTTCCTTTTCCTCTCCAAAATTCTTGGACGATGTCGAGATAGTGTGTTAGCCATTGAACCCGAAACCTGAAGCCTTAAGCCTTAGACACCGGAAGCCCCCCGACTGAGGGTTTTTGTGTTGCAGGGGTTTACGAGAGAGGTTTAGGGCTATAGGGGTTTAGGGGTTTAGGGTTTAGGGGTTTGGGGCTTAGGGGTTGTGGGGTTTTAAGGAGTTTAGGGGTTGGGTATATATTTGGTTCAGGGGTTTCTGCATTGGCTACCTCGTAAGGCTGCGAACATTTTTCTCTGGGCTTTCCGCTTTGTTCTTGAATTGAAGCCGCCTCCAGTACATAGCAGTAAGAAACCAATCCCTAAACCTTAAGCCTTGTACCCTACACCCTCACCTTAAACCCTAAACCCCAAACCCAGGATGTACATTTTTGTAAAGTCTAGGGTTCAGACCTGCCCATGCACCAAAAAAACTGTCCCAAGCAAGAAGCCGCCCATCGATTCTTGTGGGGGCACGAATCCCGAACCTCAAAATCCGAAACCCGGAGCCTAACTGAGAACCCTAAACCCTAACCCTAAACCCCAAACCCCAAACCCCAAACCCCAAACCCTAAACCCTAAACCCTAAACCCTAAACCCTAAACCCTTTAAACCCTAAACCCTAAACCTCCCACAACCTCAGCTCAAGAATCGAGGCTTCTACATCATAGGCAACCGGAAGGAGGTGGAGGCCCTCAACGCCGTGTGGATGTCGAAGGAGCAGCTTGCTACCCTTTGCAAGGCGCCTACTGGAAAGGGTTCAGGCTTAGGGTTTAGGGTTTAGGGTTTAGGGTTTAGGGGTTCGGGTTTGGGGGAAAGGGGTTAGGGTTTAGGGTTTAGAGTTTAGAGTATGGGTATAGGGTGAACATATCAGAAAAAGAGATCCTTTTATATGACAAAAACTGAGAGAATATTCCCGTATTCGGGAGCGTTGGAGTCTCCTAGCGCAAGCTTGAAAAAGCTCCTTGCGGCCGGGCCCCAACGGCCCTAAACCACGGCTCCCCACCTGATATCAGAACCCACCAACCACTGAACCCTGGGGGGTTTAGGGGTTTGGGGTTTAGGGTTTAGGGTTTAGGGTTTAGCAGGAGGGGATTCCTAACTATCCCCTACCAGAAATTGGGATGAATTCAGGGTCACCCTAAGCCCTCAACCCCTACATGATTACCTGTTGGTGACTTGTTTCTCTGCTTGAACGGACCCTAAACTCTTAACCCTCAGCCCGAAACCTTCAATCCTAAACCCTCGGAATTAAGATGTCTTGTTTGGACAGTCTGGGTTAGTAAGGTGGGTTCTGGGGATTGTAATCGGGTGTATAGGGGATACCAAGTAGACTTACTAAGTCGAAAGAGCTTCCAAGTAAGTAAGAAGCTTAAACCCTAAACACTAAACCCTAGATCCTAAACCCTAAACCCTAAACCCTAAACCCTAACCCTAAACCCTAAACCCTAAACCCTAAACCCTAAACCCTAAACCCTAAACCCCCGGATGACAGGATGTCAACCGGCTGGGAGCCAAACTGCACCTCTTCGAGGATGAGCCCTATGCACTGTGCAAGAAAGATGCCCGGCCGATGATGTGAGGCCCCCAAGCCCACTAGGGTTTAGGGTTTAGGGTTTAGGGTTTAGGCTTTCGGGTTTCAATAACCCGGATGCTGCACCGACGACATGAGAACACAGGGGTCTACAGGCTCGAGAACCTGAAGCTTAAAGCCCTTGAGCCTTAGCACTCTGAGGCCACCTTGTTTGGTTTTGGTTCAGGGTTTAGGGTTTAGGGTTCGGGATTTAGGGTTTAGGGTCTAGGGTGTAGGGTGGTAATTCTCATTCCTGCATTTTCGACAGAGCATGAGCAACTGGACCCTCAACCCGATCCTTCTGCTGAGGAGAAGTACTTCCCGCTCTGCACCTCGGCTGCCAGTTAAAGCTGTAGACTAGCATCAACGGGTTTAGAGTTCAGGAAGTAGGCATTGAGCAGTGTAAGAAATCAGAAACCCAGCCTGCCAATCAACAGCGCGAATCAGAAACTACGAATCAGAAACCCTAGAACTCTAAACCCTAAACCCTTAAACCCTAAACCCACCTTCCTTGCAGCGCATCACGCCAGGTGTTCTGGGCATTGAGTCAAGCGAACCCAACAACCTCCGACCCTGAAAGCATAAGCTGTCTACTAAAACGCCCTAAGCTCGCCCGAAACCCTAAACACCTGAACCCCAAAACCCCAAACCCCAAACCCCAAACCCCAAACCCCAAACCCCAAACCCCAAACCCTAACCCCCAAACCCTACCTGGGGCTTGGGACCTTAGTCTACAACAACAACAAGCCCTACTGTTTTTTAGCAGGGAAGGAGGCAGTTCTCTTTTTTTCGGGTTTCGGTTTCGGGTTCCAATTTCTATACCTTGTCAGGTAACCTCATTCCCTTCTTTCCTCCTTCCCTCATTCACCTAAACCCTAACCCTAAACTCGAAACAATACCCCCCAAATCCTAAACCCTGAACTGGCCTCAGGCATGTGTATTGTCTCCTGCGCCCTAATTGTCGCTGCCACGGCGTCATCCATCCTGGAGTGGGATGATGGCAAGGCAGCAGATTTCAGTGAGCTTAGGGTTCAGGGAGGGTTTAAGGGTTTAGGGTTTAGGCTGGGTTTTGACCTAATTCCTAAGGCCTGACCTTAACCTCTATCTAGACCCTACACTTTAAAAGCCCTCAAACCCAAACTGTACAGGATCTGTGGTTCAAGGGTTTCTTGGGGTTGCCCTGGAGGCTGAGGGGCCGCTTAGCGGGGACTGATGCACATTACGATTTCTACAAGTACTGTTGTTCCCAGTATGACTAGTATTGTTATTACTTGTATGAGTCCATTATTCATATGAGTATGATGATTGTCAGTACAGTCATGATTATTGCTTCTAATCATCTTGATGATGGCTATGATTAATGATTTTATTGTGACTATTATTATTAGTACTATTAGTATTATTGTAATGATTATTCTTATTCTTATTCTTATTCTTATTCTTATTCTTATTCTGGAAACTATTATGGCTACCATTGTTGCCTTTTTTTGCTATTGTCTATTCGTTTTATTCTCATCATTGCCGTGATTATGAGTATTCCTACGAATAGGATTATTTTTAGCATGACTCAGCCTCCGTGGGCATTGGCTGAAGCTTTACGCAGTCAACAGAGCCTAAGCCCTAAACCCTAAACCCTAAACCCTAAACCCTAAACCTTAAACCCTAAACCCTAAACCCTAAACCCTACATGCTCGGCGCCCTTTTGTCTCCGCCTTCGGAGGCAGCGCTGGAGATCGCGACAGGGCTCATGCTCAGCCTCACCATCATGTGCTGCTTCTGTCTGAACTTTCGGAGGCCACCCTAAACCCTAAACCCTAAACCCTAAACCCTAAACCCTAAACCCTAAACCCTAAACCCTAAACCCTAAACCCTAAACCCTAAACCCTAAACCCTAAACCCTAAACCCTAAACCCTGAACCCTGAACCCTGAACCCTAACCCAAGCCCTAAGCCCTAAACCCTAAACCCTAAGCCCTAAGCCCTAAGCCCTAAGCCCTAAGCCCTAAACCCTGAACCTTGAACCTTGAACCTGAACCTCTCGACTGAACTTCTTCCCCAGCTCTCTTCGGGCAGGGTTTCAGTAGTTGAAGCATGACCCAAAGCCCTCAACCATGAATCCTAAGCCTAGACCCAACAAAAACATGCATCAAAACCCCGAAGCCCTCGGATCAAACCCCTTAAGCCCGAAACCCTCGAAGGCCAATAGCTTTGTTTCTGTAGCTCGCCCCCTCCACAACCTTCAGACCCGAAATGGCCCAAGCCCTAAATGTTTTTGTTCTTTGTAGGGAAGTTGGGATGTAGGTGCCTTATATGGATCCCTTAAACAGTTTTCTCGGTTGATGTGAGGTAACTTTATAGCCCTAGCCTACCTTAGCGGGCGGCGATTGGATGGCAGGCGGAAGATTCTGGATTGGGAGGCGGGGTGGGGTTCTTGAAGCCTTAAGCCATACATCCAAAGCACTAAATCCAAACCCTAAACCCTAAACCCTAAACCCTAAACCCTGAACCCTAAACCCTAAACCCTAAACCCTAAACCCTAAACCCTGAACCCTAAACCCTAAACCCTAAACCCTAAACCCTAAACCCTTAGCCGGTGGGATTCACGTGGGAGTTTGGGCAGTGCTTGCTCGAGCTGCAGCGGCTGAGGTGGTGGAGGGTAAGGGTTTAGCGGTTTGAGTCTTTTGGGGGTTCGGGGTTTAGGGTGAGGGTTTAGGGTTCGTAACCAGGGAACACCTTGCTATACATGACACTACAATGAATCAAGTGTATTCCTCAATTCAGGGTGTGGTGTGCTGGGCTCTCTGGGTTGCACGACCTGCGTATGCGGCACTTGTAGGAACCGGGTGCTGTGTGGGACTTAAGCCCTCAGACCGACCAAGTCCTTACGCTGTCAGTTCTAGGGAGACTCAGGGTACTTGAGGAGTTTACTGCTTGGAAGCTCCTTTGACTTAGTAAAGTCTACTTCGTATGCCCTAGAAGCCCTTGTATAATCCCATAGCCCACCTTACTTGCGCTACTGACTAAGCCAAAAGGGCTTCCAAGTAGCCCCCGTAGTCGCAAGAGTTAGCAGACACCTAACTTGGGTTATAAGTCTGAAGTATGAGCACTTAGCCCCTCTTTGCAGAGGTGACAGTAGCCCTAAACCCTAATCCCTGAACCCTAACTCCCTACACCCTAGACCCTTCAGCCTAAACCCTAAACCCTAGACCCCACTGGGGTTTTGAGGTTTTGGCGGCTCATGGTTGCCGTGCTTTTTTTGGAAACGCAAACAGTCCTCTTTCAGGACGGCGGCCTCTTCAGGAGCTAGCCTGGTTTAGGGTTTAGGGTTTAGGGTTTAAATTAGGGTTTAGGGTAGTTCTGCCAGTGTCCGAGAGTGAGGCTGAAGTACCTGTAAAGCGGCATCGCAAGAGCTCTCTCTCTGTAGCTCTCTATCTCTCTTCATCTTGTTGCATGCGCCTGTCTCTGTCTCTTTCTGCCTCCCCTTTTTCTCTTTCCGCTCTCAGTCCTCTCCCTCTCCCTCTCTCTCGTACCCCTTTCTCCCTCTCCCTCTCTGTCGTACCCTCGTCCTTCTTCTTCATCTCCCTCTCTCCTCACTCTCAAAAGCTGGGCTCTCCCTCTCTCTTAAGGGGGGCTTGTTGGTCAGCTGCAATCCGTGCAGGTGCCCCTTGCTGAGCTGGAGCAGTTTGCCCAGGAGTGGGGGGAGAAGTTCCTCGGCGCGGATGCTCCAAAACCCTAAACCTAAAGCGCGAGTGCGAAGCCCCTACACCCTAAACCCTAAACCCTAAACCCTAAACCCTAAACCCTAAACCCTAAACCCTAAACCCTAAACCCTAGACCCTAAACGAAGAAGAACCAACACATGACATGCGGGTAGGCGGACAAGGCAAAGGTCTGGGGATTTGAGGTCGCTGGGTCCGGAGGAACAGACTGAACAGACGCATGCCTCGATGGTTCCGAAGCCTCGACGTTCATCTCCCTTTGGCCAGGGCTTGCTTGATTTGATTTGCATGCGCGCCAAAAGCCTTTGAAACTCCACATACACCCCTAGATTTCTTCTGGTTCTTAGTAGGGAATGAGGGATTAGGTTCCTCGTATCCTCGAAATTTGTTATTTAAGGGATTCTAGAGGATATTTAATTCCCTCATTCCCTACTCAGAACTCAGTAGGAAGTCAACCCTAAACCCTGAACCCGAAACCTTAACCCCTAAACCCTGAATCTCAACCCTAAACCCTAAACCCTAAACCCTAAACCCTAAACCCTAAACCCTAAACCCTAAACCCTCAACCCTGCACCCCAAACACCCCCCCCTCCCCCTGAAGTCAACCCTAAACCCTAAACCCTAAACCCCCAACCCTGCACCCTGCACCCCGCACCCCGCACCCCAAACCCCAAACCCCAAACCCCAAACCCCAAACCCCAAACCCTAAACCCCAAACCCCAAACCCCAAACCCCAAACCCCAAACCCCAAACCCCAAACCCCAAACCCTAAACCCCAAACCCCAAACCCTAAACCCTAAACCCTAAACCCGAAACCCTAAACCCTAAACCCCCCCCAAAAAAGGGGGAACAAGTTCGGAATTTCTGTCGCCGAGGCACGACCTGAAGTTGCACTTCGAGTTCAAGCGGTGCGGACCCAGCTTCCTGGTTCCTTGGTGGCCCAGTGGTACCCTTTGCCATGTTTGGTGGGGTTTAGGGTTTAGGGTTTAGGGTTTAGGGTTTAGGGTTTAGGGTTCCCTTGTAACGTTACTGGGCTACTAAGGTTCTCATGCCGCGGAGACTGCCCGACGTCGCTTGTCTTCAGAGCTTTGGGAGCTTTGGGGGTTGAGGGTTTAGGGTTTAGGGCCATGCAGGTCCATTTTGAGGTATCCGAAGGTTTAGGGTTTAGGGTTTAGGGTTTGGGGTTTGGGGTTTGGGGTTAGGGTTAAGGGCTTATAGGTACCCCCAAATAGGCGTCAGTTGCTAGGCGTCAGAGAGCCGCCCCCCAGACTCCACAGCCTAGCGCCGAAGCTCTGGTTCTTAATCCGTGTTAAAACCCCGAAACCCTAAACCCTAAACCCTAAAACCCTAAACCCTTAACCCTAAACCCTAAACCCTAAACCCCAAACCCCAATTCCCAAACCCCAAACCCTAAACCCTAACCCTAAACCCTAAACCCTAAAATCCTAACCCTAAACCCTAAACCCTAAAATCCTAACCCTAAACTCTACACCCTAAGCCCTAAGCCTTAAGCCCTAAGCCCTAAGCCCTAAGGCCTAAGGCCTAAGGCCTAAGGCCTAAGGCCCTAAGCCCTAAGCCCTAAGCCCTAAGCCCTAAGCCCTAAGCCCTAACCCTAAAGACTTGAACTAAACCCTAAACCTAAAAAAACCTGAGCCCTCAACTTAAACCACGCAGCCTTCGCCGAAAACTTCAACCCCCACACCCTCAAACCCAAAACCCTCAACCCCCTCATTAAGTCCTAAGCCCGAAACGGAGCCCTAAACCCTAAACTCTATACCCTTGTAAAACCCTAAACCCCAAACCCCAAACCCCAAACCCTAAACCCTAACCCCTAAACCCTAAACCCTAAACCCTAAACCCTAAACCCTAAACCCTAAACCCTAAACCCTAAACCCTAAACCCCAACCCTAGAGGCGTGACCCCGAAACATGCAGCATGAAGGCCCGCCGGCGGAGTGACGACAGTGAGTCCAGCGAGGAGGAGTTTGAGGAGGACATCCCTAAACCCTAAACCCTAGACCTTACACCCTTAACCCTAAACCCTAAACCCTAAACCCTAAACCCTAAACCCTACACCCTAAGCCCTAAACCCTAAACCCTAAACCCTAAACCCTAAACCCTAAACCCTAAACCCTAAACCCTAAACCCTAAACCCTAAACCCTTTGAGGATGTTCTGTCTCCCTCGGCGAAGCGCCCGCCGAAGGCATCGTCAGGGCGCAGCATCGATGTAGGCGTTTGGGTGCTTAAGCTTTTGCTGGGGTTTAGGGTTTAGGGTTTAGGGTTTAGGGTTTAGGGTTTAGGGTTTAGGGTTGAGGGTTGAGGGTTGAGGGTTGAGGGTTGAGCGTTTGGGTGTTTAAGCTTTTGTTAGGGTTTAGGGTTTAGGGTTTAGGGGTTTAGGGGTTAGGGTTTAGGGTTTAGGGTTTAGGGTTTAGGGTTTAGAGTTTTGGGTTTGGGGTTTGGGGTTTTGGGTTTAAGGGCTTGGGGGTTTAGGGGTTTAGGGTTTCAGGAGATCTGCGTTTGGAGGTTTAGGGGTTTAAAGTGTCGGGGGGGGGGGGGGGTTTGGTGGTTAAGGTTTGGGGGTTTCGGGTGCAGGGTTTCGAAGGGTTTCGGTCTAGGGGTCTCGGTGACTACAGTTTGCGGCTTTAGTTCAGTTGGTAGAGTTGTCGAGTTTTTTTTTGGCGACCCCGAATGTTGCAGGTGAGTGTCCAGTCATGTTTAGGCCCCTAAAACCCGAAGTCCTTAAGCCCTCAGCCCTTAAAGCCATTTTGCAGGCCGAATTCTTTCGACCGCGAGTCATGAACGAGCCACCGGTGTAGGCCATCCTTTTTGTGTGCTGGGCTTTGGGTCTGACAACCCCCCTCTATACTACCCCTCCCCAGGTTCCCGCCCTGAAGTAACCTTAATGCCTTAATTATGGGGGGAACCCAGGGGGGTAGTAGAGAGGGGGGTAGCAGGGGAACCCACTTGGGGTTACGATTTTCTCTTGGCGCGCCGAAGTCGTCAACCGCAGAGCCTCTCTCAACCCTAAACCCCGAACCCGAAGTCCTAAGGCCGAAACCCAAAACCCTAAACCCTAAACCCTAAACCCTAAACCCTGAACCCTAAGGCCGAAAGCCAAAACCCTGAGCCCTAAGCCCTGAAGCCCGAAACCCTGCTCCCTAAACCCTAAACCCTGAACCCTAAGCCCTAAATTCTGAACCCTAAGCCCTACATCCTAAACCCTTACCCTTTGGAGTTTAAGTTTCTGGCTGCCTTTGTACGGTGGGGGATCTCTAGGAGCGAAGCATTGCGCTACGTTCCCCCTAAAAGTTAGAGAGCTCTGAGCGCTGTTGTTTTGCGTAATATAGGGGATCGGGATAATTACTAATTGTATTCCCTTGTGGTCCCTTTGTGTGATTGTACCATAATCACCCCCAACACCTAAATATTCAGGCCCCTACTTTCCCCTAAACCCTAAACCCTCCAGGCCGTCTTTGGGCTGTGAGAATCGGCTTCTATGGCAGTGAGCAGGGTTTCTTGTCTCCATTTTTACGATTTCCTAAGCTTCAAGCGGCCATATTATGACAGATACCGGGCAATAGGTACTTCGCCTAAGAGGCTGTCATTTCCCTAAACCCTAAACTCTCAACCCCCCTAAACCCTAATGATGGACTTTGTGAGAAGTGGATGGGGCACGCTTCTCCTGCTGAATGGGTGATCCGCTCCCAAGCACACTCACGGAATGTTGAGGCCTAGAAGTTCTTCCTGCCTGCCGTCGAATAGTAATTTCCCTGCCTGCGTTCGTTTGACGCATTAAACGGGCACCCATGCTGCAAATGATGGACGTTTTACAGGTGGATGGGGTAGCTTCTCCGGCTGAATGGGTGAGCTCATTCCCCACCACGCTCATGCAATCTTGAGCCCCAGTTGCAAGTTTTCATGACCACAGTTGAGTAGAGGCCGAAGCCCTAAACTAGATGTCCAGGGCACCAGAATTCAGATCCCGCGGTTGCGCTAGCAGAGGCCTGCGCAACAAGGTCTCGGGTGAGTTGCTCCCTTTTGTGCCTGCTCTTGAGGGCTTAGGGTTTGCGATTGCAAGGGGCTCCAAGGCATGTAGGTGTTCTATCGGGATCGCAAGAAGCCGCCTATTCCACAGGCCCTCATAGTTTGAATCCCAAGTCTGCCCTAAACCCTAAACCCTAAACCCTAAACTATAAACCCCAAACCCTAAACCCTAAACTCTAAACCGAAAACCCTAAACCCTAAACTTAGGGGACCTTTCATATTTTTGGTACACGGAACTCAAGGAGATTGGCCTGGGAGTAGGTTGTAGGTTTAGGGCCGTGGAATCTAGGATCCTAGGGTTTAGGGTTTAGGGTTTAGTGTTTAGGGTTCAGGGTTGCGCCTCAGCCCAAAAATTCCCCCCCCAAAAGAAAACAGAAGTACAAACAACAGAAAAAAGAGCAAGCAATAACAAACAAAGAAGAAGAGACAAAGTGGCCCACTCAGGGTGTGGGGTTTAGGGGTTGGGGAGTAGTCACCCTTTGATTCGTTGTACAGAGTGGAGTTTCTGGAGTTTTGGCTCCAGACGACGATTCTGCTTGACTCATTGCGCCAAGGTGCCAGTGAAAAGCTACGGTTTTGAGGTTTAGGTTTTATCCCCATGGCCCACCTCGCTAACCCTAAACCCTAAACCCTAAACCTTAAACCCTAAACCCTGAGTTAGGGTTTAGGGTTTCGGGTTTAGGGTTTGGGTTTGGGGTTTGGCGAGTTTGGGTTTGGGGTTTGGGGTGCTCGCGACCCACTTAGCCCAAGTTTTCATCCCGAAGACAGAGCTGCGGATCAGGGTGCAGGATTTAGGGTACAAGAGGGCAACCCTAAACCCTAAACCCTAAACCCTAAACCCTAAACCCTAAACCCTAAACCCTAAACCCTAAACCCTAAACCCTAAACCCTAAACCCTAAACCCTGAACCCTGAACCCTGAACCCTGAACCCTGAAGCCCCCCAAGCTCATGTGAGGACTTCGTGGCCCTGCTCACGGAGCCTCTGGGCGACCACTACAGCAAGAAGGGAACGTCCAAGCCCCATCTTCAGGGTTTAGGGTTTAGGGTTTGGGGTTTGGGGTTTCGGGTTTAGGGTTTAGGGTTTCGGGTTTCGGGAGCTTTCGGGGGGCTTTCAGGGGCTTCAGGGGATTTACGGGATTCAGGTGATTTAGGGGACTTCGCGAGTTCGGGGGGGGATTTAGGGGGCTTCATATAGGGGGTCTTAGAGGGCTTGTGTGGGGGTTTCTGCAGTAGGGCCCTGATACAAGAATAGTTGCTCTGTGTCTTGTGGTCGCGAGGTTAGGGTTTAGGGTTTAGGGTTTAGGGTTTAGGGTTTAGGGTTTAGGGTTTAGGGTTTAAACCCTAGGGTTTAGGGTTTAGGGTTTAGGCTGTGACCAGCCCCTGGGTCTGAGGAAGCGGCTGCTGAACCTTTTCGGCCAAGAGGCCGTAAACGCAGGCGTGGCTTTCGGGGTCAAGCGTCAGGGTTTAGGGTTTAGGGTTTTGGGTTTCGGGTTTAAGGTTTAGGGTTTAGGGCGTCAGCCTCACCCCTCGAACCCCAAGCCGTAAGCCCTAAACCCTAAACCCTTGATGTCGGCTCGAACCGTTAAACGCCCCAAAGCGCCCCGACCACCCCAAGCACCCGAAGCATCCTAAACACCCCAAGCACCCCAAAGCATCCCGAAGCACCCCAAAGACACCCTAAACCCTAAACCCTAAACCCTAAACCCTAAACCCTAAACCCTAAACCCTAAACCCTAAACCCTAAACCCTAAACCCTAAACCCTAAACCCTGAACCCTGAACCCTGAACCCTAAACCCTAAACCCTAAACCCTAAACCCTAAACCCTAAACCCTAAACCCTAAACCCTAAACACCCCAAGCACCCCAAACATCCCAAACACCCCTAAGCAACCCTGAAACCTAAGCGCCCAAGACATCCCCTAAACCCTGAGCCCGAAGCGGGTGTGGCTCCCTAAACCCTGACCTCCCTGAAATCCGAAGCCCTGAACCCCTTGAACCCTTAAACCCTTATAAACCCTACCCCTCCTAATCCCTGAAATCCTGAGCCCTTAAACCCTTGAACCCGTAGACCCTTATCAACCCTACCCCCCCCCCCCCCCCCCCCCCCGTTGCTCACCCGCCCGAGACTGCGTCAGCTTAGCCGATCTCCGGCGCCTGGTGGCACTCCCGGCCGCGCTTGGACTCAGGGCTGAGGGTTTAGGGTTTGGGGTTTAGGGTTTAGGGTTGAGGGTTGAGGGTTGAGGGTTGAGGGCTGAGGGTTGGAGGTTTTTCAGGGGCTGATTGTGGTCTCATGTTTTTTTTGTTCCACAGGTCTTTTGAGGGCTTCCGGTTGTTTAGGGCTTAGGGCTTAGGGCTTAGGGCTAGGGTTGAGGGTTTAGGGTTTAGGGTTTGGGGTGTAGGGCTTCTGAGGGCATGTAGGGTTCTCGGGGCACAGGATCTAGGGATATCTAAGGGCTGTCGGCATTGAGGGGACAGGGCTTCGGGTGTAAGCCTCATGTCCGAAGACCCCACAAAAGCCGGTTTCCGAGGTGCCTTAAGCCCTAGACACTAAACCCTGTTTTAGGGTTTAGGGTTTAGGGTTTAGGGTTTAGGGCTAAGTCCTGTCTAAACAAGAATGAAACAGTAATCCCCAAACCCTGCCAGAGCCCTATTGTGAAGCAGAGCCAGGATGACTTGGGCATCGAGATGGAGGTCGCGCCGAGTGTGGCGGAAGTCTGGGAGGTTGAAGCTCCATGAAGGGGATATCAGGAGGGACCCCTAGAAGGGACCCTGAATCTTATTCCCTATATGTACCTTACATACATAGTCCCTATATACCTAAGTAGCCCCTAAGAAACAAGGGTCCCTCCTTTAGTCCCTTGACTCCAGGGTTAACCCTACTTGGGAGGTTCAGGGCACTTAGAACCCCCCTTATACCCGTACTTCTAAGGCCCCTATAAGTCCCCTAAGTAGGTTCTACGTAGACTTATAGTTGGGGTTACAAGTGCTCATCATGAAACTCCAAGGTGGGACCCTAAGGCTAAACCCTAAACCTTGAGCCCTGGAGGGCTGACTTGGCTTTAACGTCTGTGGGAGGGTCCATGAAGAGGGGGTGAAGAGGGGGTGAAGGGCTGAGGGTTTAGGGTTTGGGGTACAAATCAAAGGCAAACAGGCAAGGGGGGGCTTGTAGTAAGGCATACATCGGAAACTGAACCTCGAGCCGCATAAGCTCTCGTACAAGTGTTGGCGTAAGCTTGCGTAAGCAGAACGCCGAGACACGAGCCGAAACCGTACGCAACTGGAAACAACAAAAACATGGCACGGAAGCTGAAACTCGAAGCGTCGACTTGCTCAAGGGAAAAATAATTGGCCAGACATTCTTTTGGCTCTTGGCCGCCACTCAAATGTCCTTCACAGGGGGTTGTAGGGATCCTATTCGGGTTTCGGGCTCAAATAAATTTCTGGTCGAACCTCCCAGTCCCCCAGGACTGGAAACTCCGTAGAGTGAGCGAGGTGATTGCGTGGGTGAGGTAGTTTGGTGATGGGTGGGTGCAGGAGACCCTGCCGGGCCCTAAGCCCCTAAGCCCTTAAGCCCCTAAGCCCCTAAACCCCTAAACCCCTAAACCCCTAAACCCCTAAACCCCTAAAACCCCTAAAACCCCTCAACCCTAAACCCTAAACCCTAAACCCTAAACCCTAAACCCTAAACCCTAAACCCTAAACCCTAAACCCTAAACCCCTGGAAGGATTCGGAGCTCAAGGCCATGCTCGACAAGGCCGGGGCCTGGTCCC